GCTGCCATGTGATTGGCTGATTAGAAATTAAGTGTTAACGAGCAGTTGGACAGGTGTACCTAATAAAGTGGCCGGTGAGTGTATATGAAACAAAAGTTTTTCCAGGGCATAGATGTTCTTCTTTAGAGAAATAAAAATGAGTTCAAAGTAACCCCACAATCTTACTAAATTAACAACTGCTTAAGAACTATTCATACATTTATTTCTGAAAGATTACAAGCAGAAACATTTTTTTAAATCAGGGAGCATAATAATAAAAAACAATTCACATTTAACAAAGTGTACCTTTTGGAAAAAGGTCAAGTGCAAACACAATAATATAATAGTGTAACATAAAGTGTACCTTTTGGAAAAGGTCAAGTGCAAGCACAATAATAATAAAACAGAATTAACTGTTGAGAAGAGATTTTACTCTTTATAGCACCTGATTACTCTGGATTTCCTTTAAGGAAACTTCAGTCAAAAGGAAAAAAAAACAATCATCCAACTATACCTTTCTCACTCCTCTGCACCAAGCCAGTTGCTGAGACAAACAAGTTCATTAACATTTTCAGATGACAAAGAAACTCTTTTTCTGTACAACATGACCGGCAAGAGAAAATAACCTTTCACAAGGGACAGACGTTGCAGGTGTGGCCAAGTACTTCTGTGCCAGTCCCCTGTATGCTCCTGTATGTTTGGACCACCACTCTAAGGGGCAGGAATCTGTACTGATAGTGGGCTCCGTTTTGAAGCAAGACAAAGTGTTCTCAAATGAGTTTTCATCTTCTTCAGAGTCAGACTCTGATGAAGCAGCCAGTAGGGCACACTTTTTCTTTGGTGGCTCTGAAGTTGTTGCTTCCAAAGGTTTCTTTGCARCATCCTGGCTTTCTTTAAGCAAATTAAGGATTGAGACCCACACCTCATCCCTCTCAAGTCTGGGTATGCTCTTGAGATCTTTGAATCTTGGATCTAATGCAGTAGCAATCTTCAGATATGCAGTGTTGGCATTTTGCTTCTGTGTCTCCAGGTCTGCTTTAAATGTAGACTTGAAACTGACCACGTAGGCAGGATCATCATCTGAGCTGTCCATCACCCGAGAAAGAYGGCAAAAAGCAGGTAGGACAGCAGAGCAGGAAACATACTTTTGTCCTCCCAGAATTTCAGTCACATACCCGTAACAACAAAAAGTCAAAAATATTTTATTCAACTCATATTGCATTTACTTAGCTAGCATAACCTGTCTTTTACATATATGGTTTATTAACACAAACACTATTTTTTCTTAAAACAGGAAATTATAAATAATATCAAGTAAAATTTACCTGCAAGGCTCCAGGGGTGTTTCCAACCTCTTCAGTTTGTCCATTTCAGCTGTAGTTGGCATGGACATCTTGGTCTTGGGTATGGCAAGGACTTGTCTCAGTGGCTGCTCATTTCTGATGACACTTTTGATCATGTACAGTGTTGAATTCCATCTGGTAGGAACGTCTTGAATGAGTGATTCTTTCCTTTGTCCATGTTCAGTTTGTTGTTGTTCTAACTCTGCTGCATTTGCTGGGCTGTGTTTAAAATGGCCCACAACTTTTCTGCATTTGGCCAGGACATTTTCAAACACACTGTTCTGCAGAGACACTGTGACAGATCGTTGAAGACTGTGTGCCACACAGGGTACGTGTTCAAATGGCAGATGTCTAGCAGCAGCCACCATGTTTCTTGCACTATCCGTGCTAAGTGTGCTGACTTTATTTGTAATGTTCCATTGCTGGGCAACATTAATAAAATGTTCTGCACATGTTTCAGCAAAATGTCTCTCTCCTGTTTTCATTACTGTCAGGGCATGTGACTGTAGCTTCCACTGTTCATCAATGAAATGCACAGTAACTCCAAGGTAGTTATGATTACCCAGCGATGTCCAGTAATCTCCTGTGAGAGCAACTGTTGTTGYACTTTGTAACGCTGTCACTTTTGTAGCTCTCTCTTTTTCATATAACTCGTGAATTTTTCTTTTGATGGTTTGCCGTGAGGGAGGCTCATAGGTACTGTCATTAGTTGCAGTHCTAAGGACGTCACACAGACCGACATCTTCCACAATGCTAATAGGCCTGCAGTTTGTAGCTATCCACTTTGATATAGCATTCGTTATCCTGTCTTGCTTTGGTTTATCTACCTTTCGTCCACATGCTGCATCCAGCCTTGTCTGCAGAAGCCTCCCTCCACTGTTTGTTGCAGCTTCTGGTTGGTTAGCATCGACGGTGTGTTTTGAATTTAAATGGTACTTCAGGCTTGAAGAACTCCGGTGGTAGGACAGTTCAATGCTGCAGTACTTACAAATAACTTTCGTTTTATCCAAACTACCATCGGGAAGGGTTTTGAAATGAAAGTGACCATGTAAAATTCCAGTACCTGTCTTCGAGTTTCTGTCCATACTGCTAATTTTCTTGGTTTATGCGTGCGCAGCGCTATAAGGCCACGTATCAACAACAAAGGCTCTCATTGGTTGAGACGTGTTACGATGGCTTTCAACAGCCAATAGTGATCAAGATCCTGCTCCCCGTGAGAAATGGTTTGTGTGCGTGTGTGTATGTGTGTTGGTCTGTGAGAAACTAATCTAACTGCGTTAACGCGCGTTAAAATAATTATCGCCGTCAAGCATTGGCTGCGCATTAACGTGGCCAGMACTAATTTTAATACAATAGAAACACAAAACACACAATGTGCTACATTTGGACATCTTGTCAGTTTGTGACACGCAGCATTTTATTTTCAGAGGAACATAAATGTTTAATAAACTAATCAAAGAGCTGCTTCTTGAACAAGAAAAGTATTCTTCTATACCAGAAGTGTCCAATCCTGATTCAGTGACTGTTCTGCAGAAACCAGTTTATCACCCGTTTATTCAAATCAGGTATGCTGGAGCAGAAAAACCTCTAAAACATACAGGACTGGACACCACTGCTCTAGGCAGATAATTTGGAAAAACTTTTCCAGGTTCTCCCAAATTTTCAATAGGTTTCGTTTTCATTTAAAGACATTGGGGACCGGTTGTAGATTGTCCAAGGTCCACTTCTGGCCCTCAGGCCCTGTGTTGTCCAAATGCTCTCATAAACTCAAAAACAACAATACTGAGGATAAAACCTTAAACACAAAGATTGACGTGATAAATTCTCATTGAAACAGTAAAATATTTGAATTTTCAGCTAATTCAGAGAGGTTTGGTTATGAATATGGTAATGGTTATATATATGTGTGTGTATGTACACATATATATAAAAAAGCAAAAACAATAATATTTATGACAATATTTTTATACTAGATGATTTTACAATGTGGGTGTTTTTATTTAAAATATTAAATGCTGCAAATGTTCATATTCTCAGTTTAGATGGGAGCATGTTTGATTAAGTTGTAAGAAGGGGCAGGACTAGTTAAGCTAGTTGTTTCATCTCGCCCCTTCTCAAACAGTTTTTATGTTTTTTTCTTCACTTTTTTATTATATTTACAGAAGTTATGTTCTGGATAAAGAAAAAAACAACAACAACAATGTTGGTGATGAATATCTCAATAAAAAGGGTTAACAGGATAAAGACTGACTTGTCATAAATAACGTCTCCTCTGCACGATGAAACGATGATGACTCCTGCTGTGGTTGCCATAAGAGCATGGATGGAGGACACCAGCCTGCAAAAAACAAAAAACAGAAAAGATAAACTTTAACTTTCAGATTTGTTATCTGAGGTAATACTGATTGTATAAAGGGGCAAACAGGAAGTAAGAAGTGTTCATTCAGGTGAGAAACACTGAGCAGTCAGAGCTACAAGTCACCGTCAGAGGATTAGTAACATTTGGCCTCAACTTTCCTCTTCTATAAACAGACCCGTGACATAAGAGAAGTCTATGCTGAAGAGTCACAGTGAGCGTGAACGGTAAACTCGCTACACCTCCGGGTTTTATAGTAACATAAAAACATTTGGTTTGTAATCTTGTTTCTGCCCCTGAACTTTCAGGAGGTCGTGTCACATATTTGTCAAAACGATGAAGGACTGTTTCAGTTTGGACCAGCTCTCATTTTGGCCGCTCTCCAGTTTGGCAGCGCCGACAGTAAGCCGCTTTGAAATAAAAAAAAAAACAAGTAATTTATTCTCCGTCGTACTCACTGGAGCCATAATAGCCCCTTTAACACAACGTTTTCTTTAGGGATAATGTTTCTCCTATGGCTGAGGGTTACGTAACCACCCTCACATCACCAAGGCGATCAGAACATGACCGAGGAATCCCACTTTTAATTTGGAGAATATTTCTGATCTCATGGCCACGCTTAAACGGTCTTTTATAGACAATCTGTCAGAATAGAAGCCAGTGATGACTGGTGTGCTGTAGGCTGCTGTGTTTGGGATGAATTACATCAACCAGAGTTGAATAACAAGAAAAATATACATTGAATAAGTAACAGCTATGAGTGGAGCAGGAGATGGGTTAGAAGGGTGTCAAATCCTGGTACTTAAGGGCCGCTTTGCTGCATCGTGGTGGAATCGAACCTCCGACTCTCTTGCCGGATGACACCAGCTTTAACCACTGAACAACAGTCTCCTCAAAAAAAAAAAATAAAAATAAAAATAAAAAACATAAAACCTAATTTATAGTTGACCAGTTAAAATGTTTGTTAGCACACTTATCTGCTAATGCTAACAGTTTGAAAATGCAGATTTCTGATTGGTTGGGTCAACCAATCAGCCGTTTGAAAGGATTCAGAAGATTTGTTGACATTTACAGAAACGGTTCACAATCAGCTCACTGAGGTTGATTTTTTTAAATAAATTAAATGGTGAACACATGAGCTGTGGAAGGCCTAGTAAAACTTTTTTTTTTATCCAAACATACTCAATATACTAACACACACACACACACACACACCAGGTTTATGCCTTGCTGCCTCCTGTAGCTGTGTGGTTGCATTCTGTGTCACAAGACTCAGATTTTTTACACAGCCCATTCATTGTGTCCGCCAATCCCCCCGCTCCCCCAGCTGACAAAATGCTGAGCTTGATGGGGTGAGGAGAACGAGGAGGGAGGGTCGGGGAGAGAGAGAGAGAGAGAGAAAAGGTTAGAAATGGCTTGCTGCCTTCTTCGGCTGTGTTGCCTGTTCTTTTGCTGCTGTGTCAAGCAGGTCTTTCCTTCCTACAGACTGCTAGGTCTTTCCGTGCACTGCTTGCCCCGTCAAAGTGTCTGACAATCAGGAGTCGGGACTTTTCCCTCCTCTGGTAAATAGGATATGTAAACTGGGGGCCACGGGCACTGCAGCAGAGTGAAATAAAGTGACAGCAGAGGCAAAAAAGAAAACAAGCAAACACTGAAGTGCATTTCAGGAGAAGAAGGGTGTCTCCTTCTCTCTCTGCTCATCACAAGAACATCAACTATAAAGCAGGCATGTTTGTGATCCGGATCAATAATTATCTGAAGTGAAAATATTACAACCCTTGAGCTGATTGACTTTGTAACGTCCACCTAAATGGTCAAAATCAGAGAACATGTGCGCAGGATCTGATACAGGGTTTCCTCCTGTGTTTTATAGGCCAGACTTTACYTCTGGGGTCATATTTTCACCAGGCTTACCTAGTTTTCTGGGGGACACCCTGCTGAGAGCTAGCCTTCATAAAATATCCAGAGATGGGAATAAACCTTTCTACCTTCTTGGACTCTCAACTTTATGCATTGCCCGTCTGTGTCTGATCCTGCCTTCTCAACACAGCTGTGTAAAATACCCATGACATTAGTGTTTATACCCCAAACAGTCTGAGTCTGCAGAAAACTCAACCAACCCATCACTCTGATTCCCATCAACTTTGACGAGCAAGTTTTCTTTCACTTTGTAAAATACAGTCATCATATCGTGTCACACCAGAAAGACGGCCATGTCTTTGCTCTGTCGTTGACCTGACAGAGGTYTGTTAGATGTACCAGACTTCAGGTGCAGGAAGTCAAAAGACGGCCCATGTTCTGGATTTGGTAACTGCATTCACAGGCTACATTCCTAGCTAGCCCCTGAAGTTGGTTTTAATCTTTCTGACACAAGTTCTTGTCCGATTCAGTTGTTTTTCTTTATACCTTTAACTAATATTTCCCAGGGTTTTTAAGATTTTTGAATGTAGAGCTGCACGATACTACGTTTTAGCCTTATCATCACAATGAACGTGTGCACAATAGTCACACCGCTGCTCTGTGATGTAGTAAATTAACTCAACATGTTATAGGAACTAAATCACTAAACCATTGGGGTGTAAATCATCAGTTTTATCACAACGCAATTATATTAAAGTATTTAAGTTATCTGTTGAAAATTCCTCGCCAAGTGGGTTTTGGTCTTTTCGACACCAGTTCTTGTTCCATTCAGGGCACACCAGTCATCTCTCTGTAGTTTCAAGTCTTTAGCTAATTATTCCCAGGGTTTCAGGACAAGTTGGGTGCTCCATGGTTGGGTGTTTCAGATCTTTCCATTAGGCTTATTCTGCATTTTCTGGGTGTTACGTTTCTTAGTAAACTCGTGGACGTACCAGAAACGGTGTATGCGTTGTGGGTGTAGAGCATATTACAGTTAACTACACACATAGTCAATTATTTGTTGTTGATTTTAAGTTACACAAAGGTACACAACATCCAAAAATATTGATCTATAGGGAGAGGATCTAAAAAAAATACAGTGTGTCAACCCTTTTAGGGCAAGGATGCGTCTGCAACCAGCTCTGCTGTGTGTGTGTGTGTGTGTGTGTGTGTGTGTGTGTGTGTGTGTCAGCTGAGCATTAGTAAATTGGCTGAAGTGTTGTTCAGGAGCAGGACTCCGTTTGTTCCTCCACACAGCTAACTCAGCAGCTCAGAGAGGGATTATCCAGTCGGACAAGTGGTCCAAACGAGCCCAGAACTGAACAGAACACAGGTGACCATCAACCCCTGACTCCCTCTTTTCACTCACCAGTCAACAAACTACACAGTTTACAAACCCCCTGAAACAATGAGTTTAAAACCAAAAATAAGACATGATTAAAGCTGGGGATTGTTGGGGAAATACCCAGATAAGAGTCTCAGATTAGTACTATTTATAATCTACACTGCTTAAAGATAAATTCAAATGCATAAAATAAAAAAATACACTTAATGACGTTTACACTAGGGCTTCTAAGCGTTTTCGTGGACAGGACCCACAGTTTAAATGTGCCTGTTTAAAAAAATAAACAAAACAAATAGTGCTTTTATATTTAAGAATAAGTACTTGTATTTAACAGTGAATAAATRAATAGTTTAAAGGAAGATAAAGTGCATTAGCTTAAGTAAGTCTACGCGACCATTACTACTAGCTACACCTGACCAAGCCAAAGGGAGCCGATGCTTAGCTAACATTTCCGTTATGTAAGACATTGAACGGAGCAATTTTTATTATTTTTATGTTTTTTTTTTATTTTACCTTTCGCTGACTAGAACCACGTCGGCATCGTTCCAGTGTTTAAACACACTCGGCAGGATTCTCCTGAAGGCGAGGAAAAGACCGGGGAAAACTACAGCGCCACAAGCTAAAACTTGCAACATCCTGCTGCTATTTTTCCTCTTAAAAAAAACAAAAAAACACCCCGGCGTCCGGACGGAGACCTGGATCTATCTCTCTCTCTCCCCGCTCCGGGGTTCCTCCAGGCGGGTCTCCCGTCAGCTCACACGCCGCTGTGAGGCATTTTCTTTTCCAGGGCACAGCTTCGGTGCTTTTTTTTACCCGGGGATCGGGTCCACCATCAACACACAACCACTCTGCCGAAGCGGAGCAGCATCCAGCAGCGTCAAATGGTTGGCTAGTTAGCTAGCAAACGAACAATACTTCCGGTGTGTGTTACCAGCATAAAAGCTTCGACACGCGCTTCCGGTCGGAACTTTAATTTGAAAGCCAGCTTGTTTTTGCGGCTGTTTTACATCTAAAAAGTTCAACTTGACATGTAATTCTTATTGTAAAAACGTGTGAATACTAAAGATTCAGTCTTTTTAAAATAACATCAAACATATATCTTCACACTTTGGTTGTTGCAATAATAACCATTTACATGAAACCTTCAGAGATGTAAGATACAAAATTAACACACAGCCTTACGTTTTTGGGGGGGCTTCTCAATGTTACACTATGAATTGTTTATGTTACATATAGATTGTACGTGTATATAATCTTTCCAATGATAAATTTTAGAGACAAAAAAAGACTTATCCTCTTAATTTGCCACTAGAGGGCAGTATAAGAGTCATGTAATCACAAAGTTGGGGGAAAAAGAAGCTGAGGAAAAACAAAAATACTTTGAAAAATGGAGCTCAGCAATAATTTCTTCTAATTTTTTCCCTGTAAATGGAAATAGTTCCATACAAAAAAGAAAAAAAGAAATTTATGAATGGAGGGAAAGTCAGAAGTAGTTTGAAAACAAATTTTCAGCTGACAGGAAGCTACTGGTGGAGATTGTTATTTAGTTTTAATTTTATTCAAGCTATAGTGGATAAGACACTTTTTTTTACATTTATTTAAGTCAATTTATTTATGTCTACTCTTGATTTCTGCCACAGAACATAACTGAAAGTTCTGGCATTTATTTTTTTTTATTACCTCTAGAGAAGAGTAAGAGGAAGGAATGACGTACTATCTATTGCTTCAGATAAAAGGAGATTAACTTTAAAAGGTATCTACAGGTGATTTGCTACCTGACATTTCCTTCGTTGGGACAGTTTTGCTTTCTTGGAAACTCTACAGCGGCAGACGTCACATCTTATGATTCCCTTTCAGAACGCACTTTTTAAATCTGTGCAGCTTTAGTGAGAGATCAAATCCACATCAATGTTACTCCAACATCTTATCTGGTAGAAGTGATGACAGGAAATGAGTTTGAAGAGATTTTTTTGTGGTTTGGTGGTGAGGACGTCAGCTTCCGCTCTATTGGAAAACAACCAACTCAGTTCTTTAGATAAGAGAGTTACTGTCAAATGAGGTCACCAAGATCTGAGGCCAGAGGGGCAAAGATGATTTCCAAGAAAAAACTTAGAAGAATTCCTGAATTATTTTTTAACACTGCTTTAACCTCTGGTGGCCATGCTGAATGTTAATTTAAAAAAAACACGCAGCAATCTATTAGAAACGAGAAAAATTACATTTCTGTAAAAGTGTGAAAGTTGAGAGCTGGATCAATTTGCTGAAATTTTCTAAATAAACTGGAACAAATTTGATTTGGTTAAAAGAAGCTAAAAATGAACTTAAAGCTAAAACAACCAAACTCCCATTGAAAACCAAATTTAATGCAAACAAAAAGCAAAAGTTATAAAATGCTAAGTATCAAGACGATTAGTCAGAGACAAGACCAAAGGTAAATATAACAAACAGTAGCTAAAGCTAAAGCATCAAAATATTAGTTTAAAGCTAAAATAGCCAAAGGCTAGCCCATAAACTCAAAAAACAGATATAGTGGATTTTTTTTTAATATGTAAACTGTTTATCACCATCATCTCTGGAGATGATGGTGCAAAGAAGGATTTTACATAAAATCAAGAACATTGTGGACAACCCTGACCATCATCTTCATCAGACTGTCATCGAAAAGAATGTCTTCAGTCGGACGCTTCTTCAATTTCATTGTAATACAGACCGCTAGAAGATCTTTCCTGCCCACAGCCATCAGCATCTATAATAAATCTTTAGTTAAATGAGTTATAACAACACCAGATTTCCTTCTGGGATCAATAAAGTATTTTTGAATTCAAATTAAATTGAATTGAATATTTAATTTACCTTTAAGTAAATGTAAAGTAATTGAGTAGAAAC